TTGGATAACTGGTCTTAATTAGCATAGATTTGGACAATAATTCTAGTTCTCTGTTTACTCCTTAGTTTTTGTTTTGATTGAGAAGATGTATCGAACACTTTCAGAGACAGTGTTTCATTGGCTACCCAAACACCTCGAATTTCGCCAAAAACACTCCACTTCAAGTCGTATTTTCAACTCTCTTCTCGGTATTTGGATATTCCAATGAAACACTGTTTGATATTTTTTACATCTAAAGGCATGACAAGAGAGTTTTAGGGACCTTATGCAAACATGATAGCCATGCTCATGGCGAATGTTGATTAAAAAACGAGTTTGTCTTTTACCGGTATTTAAGAATCTCTTATCTAAACTTGTTTATGGTGTCTAGTGATGCCAGAAATAAAGGAGATATATCGTACAAAAAGTAATTTTTTTTCTGATTTCTTTTAACTTGAGGGGACCTCTAAATACAAAATAATACAACATAGTTTTCAAAGGTATAACACCAAAAACATGACACTATGATGCATGTTCTCCAGACTACATCAAATTTCTCATTTCAGGTTGTTGTATTTATGGAGGATAGCAACGAAATACACTGAGAAGGGAAATGCATGCGCATCTATTAGCTGTTGCACTTCTTACTAAATGTTCTACTTAATGTTACATTTAAGGGATCATGCTATGGGCTTGATAGGCTATAACATATTGGAAAACATGTATCCAGTAGCATTTTTGGTCTTACAACAGGACACTTCAATAGATTGTACACAGGGTACCTCTAAATCCACAGCAAATTCACTGACTGCTGACAGATGCTGACTCAGCTCCTGAAGTTGCTCTGTTGTTTCCACAAGAGTGAGTGGAGTTTTGTCCAATTCCTCATACAGCTGGTGACACAAGACAAAGAATTTGTAGCTGCAACTTTCCTTGGCCAACGAAGTGTTACATGTATAAACTGTAGTCTTAAGGACGTTTGCGCAAAAATTTTCCAGTCAACAGATTTCTGTTAAATTTTTACTGCAGTCAGATAATGAATTACTTGTGCCAGAAATACAAAAACTATTAGGGGTCACCAACTTCATTTCAGAGATAAAGCATTTGGAAAACTACCCTGATTTTGAAATATGGTCTACATTAGGCAAATGATTTTAGTCATACATGTATTTTGTAGGAAGTTCACCTGTTGCATAAATAATTCCAAATGTTTCCAACATTTTCACAAAACTTAACCTCAAGAAGCATTTGAAACTGGAGCACAGATAAACGAAGAGCTAAAAATAACAAATTTCATGGTGCATTATGCAAAAATTTCAAACTTCTAATCGATAGATTTTCTTCATACTTTCGCGAAACATAGAAAATCAGTAATGAAAATGATCCATCAAGAGAAATATAGGGGTCACGAAATGTCCAAGAATGGCCATCTGCCCTATCATTCATTTTATTACTTAGCATGTGCTTGATGCACGATGTGGCATGTGAATTTGCATGTTCAGTAAGGATGTGCAGAAACAATTAGCACGAACGTCCTTAATGCATTTTGGAAAGATTACACGATTACACCTACTGAATGCAGAAAATCACTAATAAGTAGTATAATGTTAAAGTTAAGACATAACCTCATGCAAATCAAGTATTTATTTGAACAAGTGTTTATTTGATACCCAAGGTTTAATCGAGATAATTAATACCATTAAGGAAAGTCAAAAATAGGAAAATTATTTAATTGCACTTCAGGAATCACGTCAAACAACCAGATGCAAATGCATTGCACTTTGAAAAACCACAATGCCTTATTATAAATTACCCCAACCAAACCAGAGACAGTGTGACATCAATATATCGACAGAGGCAAATTTTGCTTGTCTCTGCACTTTAGAAAACTAGATTGCATCCCTTTGGTTTGCTTTTTTCAACATCTTTCCAGATCTTGTACAATACACCTGGACCTAGAAAGTGCTATCATTAAAGTGCACCTAAATCCTTCTCTCCAAATAGTTTTTGTGCTAAAATGAAACTAGTTGTAATTGGAAACACTTCTGCAAAAAATGTTTTGCATATGGTTGAATCCTGGATTTCTATTGACTCAAATCCAGACTTAACAGTCCTCATACATGTGAGACAAAATGTCATGAATCAACTCACTTGGTCTTTCCGTGGCTTGAGCTGATTCACTGAAGGCTCAAACATATCCAGTTCATGTTGGTAAGGGTGTGCCGTGCTGGCAGAAAGTAACACATAAAACAAAATTAGTTTTATTACCAAACTTAGATTCTCATAATGTCATTATCATAAGCCTATAGATCACAGTTACATGTACTTAAGGATGCTCATGCCCATTGTTTCTGTGTATCCTTACTGTGCACATAATTCATGTTGCAACATAAGGCCATCATCATACACATCAATTTCACTAATGTAGTTTCTTTTATTGTTGATAGTTGTAACTTAAGATCATCTTAAAATGAACAGAAGGTTCTAACAATGCATTTTCTGTAATGTGCCTTATCGTGGAAACAAACTGGGGAACTCCCATTTTTAATGCCTTTTTGGCAAAAGTTGATCTTGACCTTACTGCGTGCCAAGTTAAAAAAAAAAATGTTCATGTGGGAACATTTTGGCCAGGAATGTACTTAATAGAAAAGACCCGTACCTGTTAAAAATACTGTATATCACCAATAAACAACATGTTTTTAGCTTCATAGTTTTCGTAAAGTGTTTATGCATACCTATTTAAAGCAGGGCCAGCCTGTCCTTTCATTCTCTCTTGATGTATAAAGTCAGCAATAGCTGATGGCACTTGTAGATTTTCAGGTCGACTGTCAGTGTTTGGACAATCTTCATGTAATAAATAGAGACCTAAATCAGTTGTTCTTAGAGCGGTTTTCAAAAGATTATTGTAAAACCAAAACCAAAGTAATCACTCTAACCAATCACAAGGGACACAGGCAATCCTTTCAACCATTAAAATTTGAATTATATGAAGCTGATGTGAAAGACAGAAAAACGTTTGTAAATAAGTCATGATTGGTTTTGGTTTTGTCCAAGTACTCCTGATTGGATGGAAAAGTGGCGCAAGTTTTTCAAGCCAATTGTGAAATGAAGTGATGCAAAACCAAAATTAGTTTTCAACACTCAAATGAAATCCACTCTGTGAAAGTGTTGTACTTCAAAGTACTTATGCATAAATTTGCTTGTTGTTTTGTATATCTACAGATTGATCTTGGAATGCTTTGCCAATAACTCATTATCCCAGATTAATTTAATAGCTAGCTTTGCTACCACAAGTAATAATGTAGCAAAAGCTGGGATAGGGTGTTTTAAATTACCATGAGCTTGTTGTTTTTGTTTCCATGCTCCTCATAACCTGTTCAACAAATACTTTTTTCTGTTGCCTCATTGACTATTGAGCTGTGCGATTTGGACATCATTATCCCAGATGAGGTTGAGAAATTTGTCCCTTCAGGCAGACACGCTTAACAAGGTTTTAGATGGTATCCTCCCACTTATCTACCCTCCAGTATATTTGGGCAGTATTGTAGCTATCAAACTATTGAACTTGCATGATATGCTTGCAAACTTACTGATTTCCAAAGGTCTCAAAGCATTTGGTTTTCTTGTGATGATTGGAATGAAAGGAGTGTTGCTATTGTCAATCTTGTCTTTGAATTTCAGTTGTGGACGTTGAATATTTTTGGCCATGAGAAAACGGAAACTGGTGTCTTTTCTTCCTGGGGTGTCTTTCTGCAAGTTCAATAATAACAAAATGGTTATACAGCATATAATTATGATATTCTTGGACTTAACTGATTATTAGCAGTGTTAGAATGAAATCATTTGCCAATGATTTAAACAAGGTCAACTTTTAATCATTGATTAGCTTTACTGCATTTTGTGGCTTTTTGTAGAAATATTACTGAGACAGCATTTTTTACGCAGTGCATATTATATGTATTCACTGGCAGCATATTTATGCATTCAGAGTCCCCGCTACCACAAACAGACCCTCCCACCTTCAGCTACAAGGTCAACAACACATGTCAGTCAACACAATCAGAATCAAATTTGAGAGCAAATCACTAATTACATTTATTTTTCAAGGCATTGAAGGACAATTGCAGTTGCATTTCTAAAAGCACACATTCAAGTGTTCTGCATGGTCAGTTTAATTTGGTGTTTCCCACCCTCCTAGCAAGGACAGTTCGATGTCAACAGTGACTGGAACAGTGCCTACTCCAGACAATGTTTCATCTGGGCTTGAACAATCTCAGTCACACCCAATTGACCGTCAAACATGGGAAAAGCTAAATCAACTGGTAAATAGGAACTATCAAACACTAATGCATGGGAACACTCTACTACTAAAACAAAATATATTTATTAGTATCAATATATTGTTTATTAGAAACAATTAGTATTTTTGTGACCAAACTTTTCCGTGCAGTTTACCCTTGCTCTGTTCCAGCTTGACACAATTGGTGTTCCCTGTTGTCCAGGAGCTCCAGCAACTGTTTGGTTTGCTTTGTTTGATTTAAGGCCTGCTGCCTCATCAAGACTTGTATCCTAAAAGCAAATCATTACAACAAAACTATTTCATTCATCTGCCATATGATAGAATTTTTTTGTTTTGCTTCTGAAGAGTAACTATACAAAATACTTTAAAAAAATGCAGGGTAGAGTATAATTTATGATTGAAAATGTTGTATTTAAATGTTCTCATTCTAGTGTCACATGTGATTCAAAAAGCACTCAAGATAAATATTTTTCAAGTGCAAACTATTGGATATATAAAGAGAGAATTAAGTGTTAACCAGGACAAACACACTAACCACTTGCTCCAAAAGGATATCATTGGCTTCCACTAGACTGTCGAGTAACTCATCACTATCAGGATCAACACCATGAGTGTCTGATGGCCACTGACAGTGCACCTTCCAATGATGCAACAGTTTCCCTATGCTGCAATAAGAAATTGTTGCACTGTTATTGTGAAACAGATGTATCCCAGCAATATTATTTGTTAAAAGGAACAGATAAAACCACACTATTTAGCTATAATTTGTTAAATAATGTCAATAACTTCAAGCCCTGTAGCATGGGCTCTATTCTCCCATGAAGTAAAAATTAAATCAATCATTGTTAACGGTTAAGTGTAATAACAAAATATGAAAAAGGAATGCCCATTGAAGCTAATTTAGCATATTGGAATAGCACAGTATTCTTACTTGCTAAGAAGTCTCGCTCCTTGAGCTGTTCTAAATTCTCTGAAATCAGAGAAACTGTAGTAAAAGTCATGATCTTCTCCTGCTGCAGGTAAGTTTCCAGCATTCCTGATGGCATGGACAACAGCACTCAAGGATTCCTGAAAAAATAAAAACACACACAAAACAGGTTGAGTCTTGTCGATGCAGTTGTGTATTTTTTTCTTTCATAGCTTATCAAATTTGATTTGTTCTAGAAGAACTAGATCCTTTAAAATGATCTACAACATACTGAATGGATCAAAACAAGACATTTATTTGCAGCACAAGCCTTCTATAAGGGTAATGTTTTTACTAATGCATCAATAATTATGTTTTCAGAGAATACATGTATACACTTGATTAAAACGGACTTCAATGATCATAAAATATTTTCTTGTTGTGAAGATTTTCTAAGTAAGTTTTATATGTGTGCCTACAAATGCATCTCTCTATTATTCAATTAAGTTGTAACTGATAATGTCTACAGATGGCCGGCCAGGAAGTCTTTCCCACAGTATATGTTTCCATACATGTCATGAACATTATGATGTTTGCAATATCTGGAAATATGCTCATTCAAGAAGACTTGTATACCTGCCAACCTTTCCTGAGACAAATGGATGATATTTTCATCTGCAGAGTACCTGGATTTCAAGACATGTTCTGATGATTTCCTGACATTTCCTTATGTATGTAACATTGTTCCTTATTAATTACATGGCCTTCTTACATGGGAAGAGGAACATTTTGCAACCATAAATGTCACAAAGTTAAAGTAAATGTAGAACGCTATGGTACACAAGTAAGCATTTACAATGTCTTCCCTCAGTATGATGCAGGGCAACTGGGGGTGGGGGGAGGTAGGAACTATTCTGATGCCAAGGTTGATAAAAGTCTTTTACAGCTCACATCACAGTAATTAATTTACAGAAACGAGTTAGACTATAGTGACAGGCACGGTCGTTTTCTTTTAATTTTGGTCAAAACAATTTGGTCTTCATTGAACAATTGATACCTCTGTAAGTTGTGATAAGTTTTGCTAGTGCCGTTTATTTACATTTTCTCTCCTGTAACCTAAAATAGTATTTTTGTTGTTCTGCCTCCAGTGGATGTAAATGCATCAGTCAATTCTATCTTAGAACCTAACGATACTTGGTTTCTTATTACCTGAGAAAACGTTTTCAGTTCTCCTATTCCCGGCAAGGAGTCCTCGGCATTTGCTTCGTCTTGTTCCATGTGGTCGGCCATGTTCCCATGACTCTACGCCTTGTCCCAGTTCTCTTCCTCCAGGGCATGGACGTTCTGGACATCTTGTGTTTCCTTACATGACATGCTACCCGAGGACGTATTGAAAACAAATATGGCGCTCAAAATGGACGATGTATCGCAACTACTCGCCTTTAAATTTACAAATTCTTCATTTGATCCTGAAAAATGTAAGGCCGGTAAATTAACTAGCAATGCATTTCATCCATGATAAGCTTTCTGCTGAGCAACCGAGTTTTCTATAATCCTTAAAATAAGCCTTATCTAGAAAGTACAGTTCTGATATTTTGATTGTTGATCTGTTCTAGATGTTAGGGACTTATCAGCACAATGTGACACTGATGCCGAACTGCAAGATCATCGAAAACGTATTCAGACTCTGAGCGAAGAAACGGCTGTTAGCTTGAAGAAAAATGTGTACAAGAATTATATGCAGTTCATCGAAACATCCAAGGAAATATCATGTATCTTTTGAGGAAAGTTGTCAGGCTAATTGTCGGATTTACAGATTTCAGAGTTGGAATTAGATCAAATTATATCTTACCAAATTCGCATTTAATATGATTACGAATAGACTGTTGGCTGTTGACTTTGCTTCACAACACATGCACTTCCGACTTGTCTCTGACTTACAGTTCTTAGGCCGTTAATTTACTGTCCAGTAGGTTTTTTTGTATTCTACAATTTGTAGTAACTTGAAAGTTAAGTTCTATACCAGAAAGAAAAAGGGTATCCTTCCTGTAGCTCATTATTTGCACTTCCAGTTGGCTTGTTTAGAAGCAGGTTAGGGTGCCTTTATACCCGAGTGCTGGTGGTGCTGTTTTGATTGGGAGGAGTATGTTTCCGGGTATGTTTCCGGGTATGTTTCCGGGTATGTTTCCGGGTATGTTTCAAGGCTAACTTATGCAGATAATCTTCATTTCGGTTGTTGCTGTACGGGGTTTGCACTTGTATTGCTTTTGTAAACTGGGTGTGACTTCTGTGCAATTCCTTTGTGATTGTATTGTGATTGGCCAGAGATTCTGAACTTAAGATGGAAACAACACCATTACTTTTTGTGAGAACTGTGTACATGCTCTAATGCAAATCTTCTGTTTATATTATCATGTTTTATAGAAATTCTAACGATGCCAGGCTAAAATCATATCATAGCTGTTTGCAGCGTGCGCATGAGAAAACTCACAGTTGAAAATTATCGCAACAACAATTGTACCAAAAATTTTAAGTTGCTCTTGTAAATTCTTTTATAGCTAGGGATAACATCATCTGCCTGGGAAAACTCAGTTTTGAATCTAAGAAACAAACAAATAAACAAACAAAAAATAATACCAAAAAATCTACAGTGTGACTTGCTTTGCTACCAGGGTGTGAAAGGATTACTCCACACACAGTTTTTTGGTCTTGCAATGATGGCCGTTTCATTTTGTGCCCAGAACCCCCTGTTGATGAGAAAAATCAAAATTTACCATCCTATAAAACATCTAAGTGTCACTGTGATCTTCCCTTGAAATAACCCCTTTTTTCTTTACCCCTTTAACAAAAAGCCAACTTTTCCTCCAAATCCCTGAATGATGCTGAAAAAATAAGCTCTCAAGAACTGACTTTCGTAACCGGGTGGATATAAGATGGAATGGTGTGAAGGATAATCATGTTCAAGAAGTAATTTACACTTAATTTAGTATGACCTTGAAGGATCATTCCCTTAAATTAATTTATCAGACCTGGAGGCCGAGATGTATCAACTGGGACATTTTTTAGCAGAACAGAAATCAATTCTCAGCAGCCAGCAAGACATGTCTTTATTTGGAACACAAGGTGATGAATGTTTAAATATTTAATACATAAGTTATAATTTTTATTTTTATATTTAATACCAGTACCAGTATATATTTTTCTTAGTGCGAAGAAAACCAATTCTTGGAGTTGTCCTCTAAGCAAGCTGTAACTAAATGTATGATTTATCCGTACTAGCTGGAAAGTGATTCTCACTAGCCCCCTTAAATTTAATTTCCTTTATATTACTTAATTTGTAAATTATGTCCATTCCCTCAAACATTTTCTTGAGAAACTTCACTTAATCCTCACTGAGGAAAAAATAGGAGAAGTTGAAAAAGATAAGAAAATATGGGCATTAGAGAGGTAAACATGAAACTTAATAAGTGAACTAATTTTCAGTATTTAGATCTATGTACTATAGATTTTGCATCAATAGCCAATTTTACTTTATCATTATTATTAATTGATTCCTGTTCTCAGCTTTCTGTTCTGTGTAAGCATATTTATGAATGGTTTCTATTTGGTGCTGATACTGTTTTGAGTTTTCCATAGTCATATTTGCTAGTAGGGGAGCAAGACTTGAATAACTGAAGTGAATAATTTTTGCTTTACTGCTACTCCTTGGTTAGTTGGTAGTTGTTACTCTTCAGTGCTGTTAACATTGACAGCTGGTATTCTTAACTATGCACCTATTGCTGCTATACTGTTTTTCAGACTTCAGTTCTTCAACAAAACCGTCAAAGAAAGATGAAAAAGGTAGCAGTTCAATTGAATCAGTTGAGGGCCTTGCTGTAAGTGACAAATTTGTATTTTTTTAAAATTTGTTAACCATTATTAAGTCCAGATGAAAACAACCCACATCATCATTCATAGTCACTTAATTTTTATAAGCAATATTTATATACATGTAGGCATGTCCAATAATAAAGCTTTAAAAACAATCATTAAAGCACAGTTAATGGAGCGTGATGCTATTTACATATCACTAGCTTACTATTGTTAAATGTAACGCAGTAGAACTGTTATGCGTTAGAACATTACAGTGTATATAAGTCTTTCTTGTCTAGTTTAAACAATATTCACAATAGCCTTGCACGCATGCATGTTGCAACAACGTCTGGTTTAATTATATCATGTGTTTGTATGGCTAGTCTTTTAAATTTAACCCTATTCTTGTTTTGTTCAAAGCCGCATGGGCTCTGTACTTTCCATGGTACATAATTTTATATTGGTCTAAACCCAGACGTTTGTCCAGCTATAAAAGAGTCTTAGCTTGGACTTAAGCATCATTCGCTTGTCATATCACTACTGTAACTTTTAGGTAGCCCTCAAAATTGTAACTCCCACCCTTCCCTCCCTTTGGAGGTTTATTGTTGTTGTTCATTACTATAAATAACAAACTGGACTTCACCTCTTGTGTCACGCTATCGGTTAAGTCTTGCAGCGACTTCCCCAAGCTTCATTTCGCTAATTTAGTGCCTCTATTTAACGCTCTTTTATGCCTCTTCTTGTCTGATCCATCCAATCCAGCACATGCTGGCGGAGTTGGCTCATAGTGCCAGGGAGATAAGTACATGTAAAGCTTGAGAACTGTTTACGCTCTAAAACTCTGTTTACACTCGTCTGTCACGCCAATTGCGGAGTGGTGTTCCCCCTTTACGCCATATATTGCGTGTTTATTGCTTGTGATTGTTGGGGTATTTAAAGCTAATACTCCCGAGGAACTGCAACATTAATAAATTATTAAGCAAAATTGGTTTAAATGGAGACCTGTATACTAAATAATTAACTTATAAGTACTTTATTAATTTACATAATATAACTAAATAAATAGCTTTTTTCATGTTCATAGAGTGTCCTGGATATAACTGATGTAAATTGTGTATTTGAGGGAGACCTGGTTGAAGTGGATCCTGAAACATTTCTTCCGAGATCAAAAGTACATGCCTTCCTGTTACATGACAGCATGGTTGTAGCAAACATTATCCAGAACAGGTATGTGCAACCATAAGGTTGTAACCAGGTGACACTGCTGAAAGTAATTTCAGTGTTGGTTTGCAAATACTGGTTGCCTGGGACAGGATAAAGTATTTGGGTAAATGTCCCAAGTGAGACTCACATCATTCCTGTATTTTAGTCCTCAGCTTTTGTTAAAAAAAAAAAAAAACTGACCAATGATTCCTGAAGGTATTTTAACTTGGGGTTAACTTGGAAATTAATGGATTTACTTCCCCGACTGTTCGGTTCCACTGATGTAATTGTGAGCCAGTCATGCAAAACCTCAATAACTCTGCCAATGAAAAGTTGTATCTTATTGTCACCCCAGTAATTCTTGACAATGTCAAACAGATCTTAATGATGCTATCCTCTAAACATGATGCTCACCAAACATTGAAATAAAACAAAGTTTTCATCACAATATATGATGTGAAAACTTACTATGTTAAAAAGATATCAGTAGATATACAACAGAAACTTACTATTTTAAAAAACAATCAGTAGATATACAACAGAGAACAAAGTTTAAGAGTTGAAGTGACCATGCAGTGTTTACAATAGGTAAACTTACTTTTTGCTATTAGTTGGCAAAGTGGCTGCGGTCAACAGAGAAGGGAAGGAATGTGGTTTGGGCTTAAGCAGCCATTAGAGGGGAGAAACATTGTGCAATGAAGTGAAGAATGGTTGTGGAAGAAGTGAATTATTAATGACCAACTTGAGCTTAAACTTTTTATTTTTATTTATATGTAGGCGTGGTCCAGTCCGTTTTAAGTACCAGTGTTTGTTTGAACTTGAAAATGTTGCTGTAGTGAACATGACAAGTGCAGACGGTATGTGTATCCGGCTGTTTGTAATCAATCCACCCAGGCAATGCAAAACCACAAAATAATATTGTTATTCCGATAGGTTTTTAATTAATTTGTGATTCAATATTGAACAATCTTTCATTTTTTAGGTTTGAAAGATGCTTTTAAGATTTTTCTTTTTCCAGAGACTCATGTCTATCAGGCTGAAAGCAAACAGATCAAGGTAAAGAGACAAATACAGTGTTAGTATCAAGTAACAATAAGTCTCTAGGACAATCAGTCTTTTGGTTAATTTTGTTATATAGAATACATCATGCAGGAACATCTTTGTTTGAGATTGTGCCATCTCCAAATATATTAGAATTGAATTATTGTAAGTTCAAGCATTTTGGATGCCACGAAAGCCAATTAATTTATATTAGAGTTGAATTTAGCAACAATGCAGCAATTTTTAGCAGCAATTTCTTCATATCTTTCTCTGCAGTTCAAATATATGATCTTTCATATATTCACTTGTATTCTTCATCATCTACTGGTATGTTACAAACTCACAATGTGACCAGCTCCTAGTTGGCTTGAGAGCTCAGTTGGTAGAGCACTGCACCAGTATCGCAGAGGTCATGAGTTCGAATCCCGTTCAGGCCTGATTTTTTTTCAGGCCTTAATTTCACAACTGCTTAAGTTGTGTGCATAACTGCGATGATCAGCAATGCCTTCATTAAAGTTGACTGTTGGTATGCTGTCCTGATCTGCTTTTAGTCAGAGTATTTTATGTTAGAACTAGTTATACAGGCAAAGGTTGATTTTGTTAATTTCAAGGATTTCGAAGGTCAACTGTGACACTTATGTAGTACTTGTACACTATTTGAAACCTTCCTGGATCTGTAGTGGTTTTAAGGACTGACAAATGTAGAGTCAAGTCATGCTACTAACAATAATAATTGGTTTTAAGTTGTACTGAGTTTATGCTATTAATAATAGCTTATATGGGGCCCTTTATTCAATTCTGCTTCTTAGAAAGAGTGGTTAGATAGAATAGAAGAATGTAAAAAGAACTTCAAATTGAAGCTGGAACAAGAGTTCTCTCAAGGTGACATTCAAGTTGAAAGTGAAGGGACTAGTGCACATTCAGTGAACACTAATCCATTCCTTGATGATGACAAGAATCCCTTCACTAATGATGATGATGATGATTCCAAAAATCCTTTCAAAGAAACTACTTCAACAAATCCGTTTGATGATGATGAAGGTAAGTGAAAGTGCTTTTTTTCCTGTACTGTTTGGGTGACCAGTGGATGACCACTCTTTAGAGAAAATTGCAGTGGAAAATGCTTTTAGAAAGCTGTTAGTTTGAAAACAGCAGAGAAAATATTTTGAAGTAACTTACAACTTGTGGATAATAACACAGTTAATTTGTTTTTGCTCTTGTAGAGCCTATTGCATCATCTTCACCTGCATCTACAAGTTCTTAATTGATCAAGGTAATAATTTTCCTTTTCTTGCAAACTCTTGCATTGAAAGAGTTTAAATAATAAAGTTGTCAATGAAGGAAAAAACCTTGTTCTGTGATATACCCTTATAGTTAGTTTTGTACTCTTTCATTATTTTCANTGAAGTAACTTACAACTTGTGGATAATAACACAGTTAATTTGTTTTTGCGCTTGTAGAGCCTATTGCATCATCTTCACCTGCATCTACAAGTTCTAAATTGATCAAGGTAATAATTTTCCTTTTCTTGCAAACTCTTGCATTGAAAGAGTTTAAATAATAAAGTTGTCAATGAAGGAAAAAACCTTGTTCTGTGATATACCCTTATAGTTAGTTTTGTACTCTTTCATTATTTTCAGGTGGGAAAAGCCTGGCTTAGAGACCTCCCAGAGGATTTAGACATGTTTATAGCACAAAGAGATTTTGAAAGGGCCATGGAGTTGATAGACAGAAGTGAGTTAGTGCTGATTCCTATTCAGTGACACACAGGAACCTTGCAATTCCCACACTCTACAGCATAATAACAATGTACATGTAAAAGTCAAAGGATTTTCTAATTTTTGCCTTTTTTAAGATGGTTAAGTTAACATTTTAAGATTCTGCGAGGTGAGGGGTAGAGTAGAAATACTCCAAGTCACCTCATACTGTGGAAACTGTAGTTACATGTAAGCACTGAGAGCTATGAGCCAGCTGGGTGTAAAGGGCTTTACTTTTACTTTGTGTATTGAGCGGACTAATTATTAATAATATTTCATTATCTTCATTTCAGCGAATCAGTATTTAAAAGAGAATAGTAGCTCTCAAGTAGCAAAAGAAATCAAGTAAGCTAATTTTATTTTTTCACATTCATGCTGTTACAGTAATTATTAAAATAAATTGAGATTCACACACTTATGTTCGTGTATAATTCATCAAGCTTTACAGAAGACTGTTAGGTTAGGAGTATAGCAGAATTTTCTGACATATGAAGGTGGGAAGGCTCATTTACATGTAAAATTCCACATCTGAGTATAACTTGGCTCATCAGAATTAAAGTGCATTTGGGAATCAACAACTCTCATCAGAATAATATTGTTGTAACCATGATAATTCCATGATAGTTTTTAGAAAACGGTTTTGTCATTTTTTTTTTTTAAATATGTTGACAAGAAGGTTTAATAAACTACAACCAATGATAATACACACAGTATAAAGAGCTCAAATCTCTGCCTCCCAAATTTGCATTTTGCTAATCAGAGGCTGTGTTTACTGGTGTGATATTCTGTGATATCAAGTCTCAGACCCAATATGAGCCTAACAAACCTTAGCAACTACAGTGATTGATAATCTCACAATTTTAAAATGAAAGACAGAAAAAAGTTCTAAGTATAGACCTTATCACAGTTTTCGACACTATCTTGAACACAGGCTTCCCAAGCTCAAAATTTGACTCTGCATACGTGGTGTATGGGACAGCTTGTGTATATAGAGAATCGTCTAGGAAAGTCACCAATCATAAAAAAATTGTGTAAATTACTATCTAATTTGAAATAAAGTTTCCCTACCTCAAATGTGTCACATACTTGTCTCTTGAAGCCATTCTGATGCCGTTTAGTGAAGTCATTCGAAAAAATAAATTAAATTGAATTTTACAAAATTTGCGATCAAAACGTTAAAATACTAGGTAGAAGATTTTATTCACCAAGTTTGAAGGATGTAGCTTGGTTAGAAGATGCTCAGTTAATTTGTCTAATTTTCCATACATTTGTCTAATTTTCTTCCTATGAACCGTGTCTAGACATCCATCTACCCAGCCAATTTACAGACAATGTATGGAAAATTAGAAAAATTGACTGAGTGTCTTCTAGCCAAGCTACATCCTCCAAACTCGGTGAATACAATCTTCTACCTTGTATTTTAACGTTTTGATTCACAAATTGTGTAAAATTCAATTCAATTTTGGAAAAAGTTATTTGCCATCGGATTCCCATACAAACACTGTAATTTCTGACCACCTTGCCTACCCATCAAGGTGGTATTGAAGACCATGATAAGGTCTATTGTCAAATTTTTATTTTATGACAGTAATTTTTTTTATATATATTCAAGCCTATTGGATTTCTAACACTATTTGATTTTCTACGTGTGTGTGCAGAGTTCGTTTGGATCGCCGAGTGAAGCTGCTGGTAGATGCTCTTATTGATGAACTTGACTGTAGTCGAAGCTTTTTACTCCATGTGGGACCACGGGCTACCAGACGAGCTGTGTCATTACTGGTTCGACTGGGAAGAGCTTCTGAGGTGTGTCGCTAGATCATATTGTGAGTGAAAGGAAATGATTACTCAGAGTTGCTATGTTACATAGAAACCCTGGAGGTGTACTCCCTAAAATGGACTTTATGGGGAGACTTCACCTGACAGCTAGGGATACCTCTTTCAGGCTGGAGTATGAAAAAAGGTAACAAAAACTGTCATTTAAGTGATTCAAAAGCCTTTTCAAAATAGCTGGGACAGACGCATGTGACAGCTGAGTCAATTGTAATGAGTATTTTAGATTATTTTTAGGTACTCAGTCCCTGACTCTACCCCAGCACCTCTTATTTCATGAAAGACATGGAACCTGTCAAGCGGAGCTTGCAATGAAGGGGACGCGTACATCCTTCTTAATTGAAGGACAAATATGAGATGACTGGGGACGAGTCAATCCAAGGTTATAGAGAAGGGATGTAGCGTACCAGTACGTACATTAAGATCAGTCAATCGATCATTATTTTTAAGATACATATGAGGAACTTTCCATCACGTGAGCATTGTTCCTGACTTAAGTACAGAGCCAACGTATTACAAGCTGTTCATCATTCTTAAGGCTTATTAAAGTGGAGTTACATTTCTTAAAACAATGACTTTTATTTCTTGAATGTGACAGGCATGTCAGCTTTTCTTAAAGAACAGAAGTGAGGCCATCAAACATAGTCTCAGGTAAGGTGATAGAAATTAACTTAAGAAAGCTTATTAGAGTAGGACAGAAAATCAACATGTGTGGATTCAGTCCTTGTAATGGGCCACTTCAAGGATGTCACGCTTTTCTGATACTTTCCTTTCAAAGAATTGTCAAGTCTAGGGCCCCATATGTCCATGCATTTGCAATGGATTCTTATGAACTTCACATGTTTATTAAATTCTACAAAGGTTTTTTTTTTGTTTCTATAAAAATATGAAAAATTGTTGATATTACTTGACATCTTCAAAGTGGTCCAGTAAAGTATGTTTTATTTAATGTTTCTTCACTGAGGTCTGTTGCCATCAGAATGATGTGTTATATGGTTACTCTGTTCATCCTGAGCTCAACACCAGGATAACTTGTTTTCACTTGTCAGTAAAATCAATTACCGGTATTGATTTTACTTATAAATAAAAACAAATACAATACTACAAGTACTGCTACATTATATGAAGATACATTTGATATTTATTGTGGTAAAGATACAGTTTTCTCTGTCGTTTAGACAACTGAAGATTGAAGGAGCAACGTCTTTGTACATTTCCAAGCTGTCCAGTGCATTCTTTAGCAGTGTCATAGAAACTGGCAAGGAGTTTGATCAAGTGTTCTCTGCCAACAGAGGTTTCAGCTCGGGTCAGTAAAACTTTGTCAAAAAAAACTGATATCCATTAAACGAAAAAAAATTCCGTGTTTTCTATTGAGTTATTAAAACCTGACTGGAAATTTGCAATAAGAGAAGTTTTGTAGGAACACGGGCCATAGGCAAGTATTTCCACAAAGTTATTTTTCGGTCAAACTTTCACAAGTGTTTTTATTACTTGATTTACGGACATTGTTCACTTAACTTCGATATACAGTGCTCACGTGGTGTCACAGTAATTACACAAGCAGAGCCTCTTTTATCTCTTTTTTCTTTATCTTTTTTGCCGTAAGAAAAGGCTCTGCTTGCAGGATGTAGTAACTATAGTATTACATGGAAAAACTTGGAGGAAATTGCATTTTAGAATGCGAAAAAAGGAAATGCATGCCTTGTAATTAAATTTACATTGACGGCAGGGAGTCATGAAAGATCACGCGGCTTTTCTGTTCCTATTTCTGTTATTATACTGTCAGTAAGCGGTGTTTTTGGTGTTGTTTGACTGGCAGCATTTGTAGTGTGGGCCAATACTGAACTGCAGCACTTTGTGTCTCGCTTCTCCTGCCAAGTGTTCCGTAGAGAGATGGGCGTGGCAGCTATTGGTGTTTGTGTTAGTATGGCAAAACAACAATGTGAAAAGGTAACAGAAATCATTCAAAATGTACCTTTTACCATTCAAGAGCATAAGATAAGCCTGCGTTATGCTTTAATGCAGCAATGTAATCTAGGGTACAAAAATAATCTTAAAATAATATTTTTGCAAATTCTTTCAGAATATTTGCACGACAAGACCAACATCCAAGCTAAAATGATTAATAATATCTTAATTTTTGCTACTGACTTACTTGTCACTAATCGCGTTGTTGTTATCCAATCAATCAATCTTTATTTGCACTCACTCTTGTTCAAAATAAGAAATTACAATAATGAAAATATTAAAGTAATATTATCTTATGTTTCAGCTGCATGAGATAGGCCTGGACTTGACTTTCTCAATGCAGCAGATGCTTCTCAGAGACATCGTAGAAGCACTCCTGGACACCAGGGACCAGATGGTGAAGTTTGCAAGGCACAGAGTTACGGTAGATATCACTTTATCCGCAGTCTGATATGACAGTGAATCCAAGCGTGAGATAACTTACTGTTATGTGGTTCCTAGCTTTTTGTGCGAACATTTTTTTTTCATAATATTAGTTTCTAAAAGATCATCTGTCTTCTCAGGGTAAAGACGTTTATTGAAGTTACCGTACCTGACTAGAACTAAAACTTTCTAAGCTTACTTAAAAGTCGCCAGAGTAACAACAAGCCTTTTTGCCGTAGCCCCACTGTGCTATGGAGATCTGGACCTACAATGTAGGTTTATTTAAAGGAAACTAAACGCCAAATCAAGTCAGGTTTGAGTAATGTCTCATGAAGCAGCAATGATATAGTTCATGGGTTTCTTCTTATACAGGAAGCTAACTGGAAACCCATGGACTTCGAGGGTCAAACAGATCAACTGGGAACCTTGTGTGGGGAAATGGAAAGCCTCGGTGTTGAGAATTTCAACGATCTTATTGTTGGTAAGTGGCTACAGAGAAAAGAACTTTAACTTAGAATTCGTAATAGGTGACTACATGTACGAACTGAGCTGCAGTGCATGAGGAACTCGGAAGCTATGAGATTGTTACCAGGCCAAGACTGGCTGGATGGAGTCAAAATTCTAACATAAGATTTTGCGGGTAGTTGAAGGCTCGTGAAGCACTCGGGGTAACAGAGGCGAATGCAGTCACTCATTTCATTTTGTACTGCAAGCTATGTTTTTCCCTCTGTGACTGTAAGGAAATGTTAATAATTCATTTCCTAGTGAGGAACCCCGACCATATTTGGGTAGCCTATTGGTAGAAACTGATTCTCTAGCTGAGTGGAGTGTTATGTGTTCACCCCGCAGGTGGAAACAAAGTGGATCTGAGCGGTGCGACCGTCACCTTTATTAAAGGAGTGTTAGGTTTCCTAGCAGATGGATTAAGTGTCAATACACCACAGGTAAAGCACTGGGCTTGTTGCACGACTGATCTCTAATTTTTTTAAAGGAAATTTTCCATAAAACGCATCAGTTCACTTTCGATTTCTTCGTAAATAATGGAATCAAATGGACTAACGTTATAGCTTACACATGTCCGAGTCGTCAAACCATTCCTTTAAAGTAGTTTATTCCACGATGCTGACTTATGGGTGTCTTAGTTATTTCACAATGTTTTTTTCTTTTTTGGAATTAAAGCGTTCTTCTAATTTTCAGCTTCAGCCGGTGTTTGTGGATTGTATCGGAGATTTATTTGAAAACCAAGTTGTCCTGTTTGAGGCCATCCTCAAGTCTGGTCGTTATGTGAACCAGGTATGCAGTGGAACTCTGCTGTTTGTGTTTTTTCGTATTCACCCACTTAGCTGAATCAATGTATTTAAATTGACCACTGCTCCCCGTTAGCTTGATAGCTCAGTTCGTAGAGCACCGCACCGGTATTGGAGAGCCTGAATTTTTTCCAGGCATTATTTTCGCAACTGCCTAGGTTGCGTTCATAACTGTGGTGATCTCTCAATTCTTTAAATCCTTCTCCCGCAGCTAAAATATACATGTAATCACATGTAATTCTGATATCTTGTTGATTTATCCCAGGCTAAAAGCGGAACTCTCATAAAATACTTATCATTTACTCGAAATAGTAACCTTTAAAGAAATTTCCCAATTAGGATTTAATAATAATGATATTTTAACGGGAAGCTTTCTCACCCGTAGGTGATCTACAGAAAGGTCCCGATCCAAAATAACCACTCAACCGAGTGAATTCAACATACAAAAGGAGGAAATTTATGTCAATACATCATGCAAATTACCACGTGCGAGTGTCAAATAGCAAATCCTGTTCGCTTTTAAAGCTTAAAATTCTCAACGAAAGCTGGCCAAAGGAAGAAAGAATGGTACACACTTCGTTTATGATTGACTGTAATTATTTTGCCGATGGCTTTGCAGTCATTTTATCGGCTGTTACTTTACCAGTCTTTGACAACTGTAAATTACCATCTTTTTGAAGTCGTAAAAGCTGCATTAAAACGGCCATCTCTATTCAAAACGCAGTTGAAAGGGCATTGATCGTCATGTCTTCGCGGCCATCGAAGGAAAGAAAAATTCTCCTGGTATTCTTAGCCAACAAGATTGATTTTCCACTTTGGTGCCTCGTAAACGTTGCTTGGCGTTTTCTCTTTCCATTTCAAGGCCAAAAGAGGAATTTTTTTCTGTTATGAAAGAAAACAAGACCTTGAAAGCTAATAAGTTTTTGCAAGTGTCGTGTGTACGCGCGGAAGTGCGGAGAGTCACGTGACAGCCAAGCTCTTTTAGCTCGAAGAGTTACCAAATTTCCTTAGGTATGGGGCTACGCTCGCGGGCCTTCGGCGCGCAGGAACCGCGCTTTTAAGACAACCCAAGACTGTGGAGAAATTGGTATTTTTTTTTTTACTTATTATTGTTTAAGGTACATGCTGTAATTACTGTGATTCACTTCATCCTGTTAATATTTATTTTGACCTTCAAGACAATAAATCTTTTAATAAACGTTAGTATCTTTTGTTTTTCTTAAAGCATGACTTCATCCTGAAAAATGCTTCATTTGTGTTGGAAACGGTTCTTCCCCTTGTTAAAAAGAAATTAAAGGTAGGTGTACGTAAACAAGTGGCTCTATGATGTATGAGATGGAGCAGTTACCGTATCGGGAAGGCCACAAGTGCGGCTTATCTTAACCCTTCTTTTATCCATCTAACGTTATCGGCTATCGCCTCGTGGATCCACA